AGCGGCTACAGCGCGAAGGAGAAGAAAAGAGAAGAGGGTCTGCTAGGGAGTTGAGACAATAAGAGGGGTAGCTCTTCCATTTTTTATGATTTGATCATGCTTATTATTTTCAAGTATGGACAGGTCAACATTTAGATTTACATACAGTGTATATTAGCTTTGCCGATTCTAAGCATTTGCACAAGTACTTGTACTCATGCAAATGCTCAGATACCAAAACTGATACCTGTGGTGCAGTGCAATTTGAGCCTCTACAAAATGACAGAGCTCAAATCGCACTGCAAAGAATCACGTCATTCAAACAGGAATGCGGTGCGATTCCTGTCCCAATCACATGCGGTTTCCCACACTGCTCTTGTGTGAACCCAGGCTGAGTCTAAGGAGAGGAGGTAATTGAGGGAGAGGAGAGAGCTGTGGTGCATGTATCAGACTGGAGTTCAGAGGGAGCAGAGAGCGATTGTATAGAAATCACGGTGGAGAATTGAGATCTCTATGCTGGGAAAGCTGGCAGCTGAAAAGAAATAGAGGCACTGGCACTATCTTGTAGAGTTCTGGAGGTTGTAGAGGGCTTGGCACAAAAGGGGTCTGCTAAGCAATGTAGAGAGGTAGACCATTTGGCCGCTGCCATGGCAGCCCTGGCTGCAGAGACCAAGTGGTGATTAGGAATAAGGAGCTGATGCCACTGGAGGAAGACCATGGAAAAGTGCAGGCTGCCTCTGCTGACTTCTTCTTTCCCATCATGCTGCTCAGGGAGGAGTGTGGAGCCTTCTGATAAGCTGTGAGAGCCAGGTTCAGGACGGAGTAGCACTCAGGAACTGCTCTCTCCGCCATCGGCAAGTGTGCTTACAGTGTAGCACTCACACAGCCCACAGTAAAACAACACACAGTTAACCCTTTGATCGCCCCTCATGTTAACCCCTTCCTACCCTGTGCCATTAGTACAGTGTCAGTGCTTTTTATTAGCACTGACCACTGTATTGGTGTCACTGGGGATGTCAGTGCAGGGCTGGACTGACCATTTGGAAACTTGGGCACTGCCCGAGGGCCCAGGGTCAGTAGGGGGCCCCATGAGATGCCCCTGGTACCTTTTTCATAGGCTTTTTTGAGTTTGGGCAAGGACACAGGGGCCCCATGATCCCCTATTGCCCGGGAGCCCCATGAGTTGTCAGTCCGCCCCTGTGTCAGTGACACGAAGTCAGTTCCCACCCAGTGTCAGAATGCCCACCACAATCCTGCTATAAGTCGCTGATCGCCTCCATTACTAGTAAAAATTAAAAAAAAAAAAAAATTCCAGTATCTATACCGCCATTTGTAAACGTTATAACTTTCACGTAAACCAATTCATTTACACGTATTGAGATTTTTTTTTAGCAGAGACATGTAGCAGAATAATTTTTCCCTAAATTTATGATGAAATTGGATTTGTTAAAAATTTTTAACTGGACATGTTTAATAGCAAAAAGTCAAAAATATTGTTTTTTCTCAAAATTGTCGGTCTTTTTTTTTATTGCACAAAAAAAAGAAAAAATGCACAGGTGATCAAATACCACCAAATGAAAGCTCTATTCATGGGGGAAAAAAAGACATAAATTTAATTTGGGTCTGGCATTGCATGACCGCGCAATTGTTAAAGTAACACAGCGCCTTAACGCAAAAAATGGCCTGGTCATTAAGGGGGGGTAAATCCTCTGGAGGGCAAATGGTTAATGTAGCAAAAAAATGGCCTGGTCATGAAGGGGTAAAACCTTTCCGGAGCTGAATGGGGATCTAGACAGCAACAAAAACCTGACAGGGGTTCTAGTCCTTGTCCACTCTATCCAGCACTAATTGGTTATACTGTCATTATACTGTCATTTCCAGGAAGGGGATTGTGGAGGGTACCTTTATTATCATACTCAGTCTTAGGCTGGCCATACATGGGTCGAAATTCAACTGATTCTTCATCCGAAAATCGGATCTAAGAATAATCAGCCAATTTTCGCTCTGTTGGTGGGTCAATGGCACTGATTCCTCCCCTTTTCGGTGATCGGGCATGTTGGAAAATTTGTGAAAAACGGCCAATTTTCGACTCAATGATGGTCAAATCGTACAATACTTTTTCCGAAAAGAATATGCGCATGAGCCGTGACCTGGAAGGAACAGAAGTTTCGCCTGTTATATGGAGTGAACTTTATGACTTGGTTGGCTGATTTCTGAAATCATTGATGGCACCATCGGATTACCAAGCAAACGTTTTTTGATTTTCGGACGACAAATCATTCGGCATTCGACCCATGTATGGCCTGCATTAGTGAAGGGTCTGGTCCTCTTTTTTACCTACAGGTTTGGGGCGGGCCTTTTCTCATACCCCCCAAAAGAAAAAAGGTTACACATAGAAAAGGGCCTGGCATGCCTTGATACCTCTATGTACAGGTATACAGGTGAAACTTGAAAAATTGTGTTCGGGTCTAAAGGGATGAGGGGCAACCCTACTAGGTGGGATCCAGGAGCAGGCAGTGGGGGAGCCACATAGAAGGGTCCTTCCTGTTCTTCTCACAAGTTCCTTGTATCAGCCCCCTCCCCTTCCCATGTACAGGTGAAACTCAAAAAAATTAGAATATCATGCAAAAGTTCATTTATTTCAGTAATGCAACTTAAAAGGTGAAACTAATATATGAGACTCATTACATGCAAAGCAAGATAGTTCAAGCCGTGATTTGTCATAATTGTGATGATTATGGCTTACAGCTCATGAAAACCCCAAATCCACAATCTCAGAAAATTAGAATATTACATGCAATCAATAAAACAAGGATTGTACATAGAACAATATCGGACTCTGAAAAGTATAAGCATGCATATGTACTCAGTACTTGGTTTGGGCCCCTTTTGCAGCAATTACTGCCTCAATGCGGTGTGGCATGGAAGCTATCAGCCTGTGGCACTGCTGAGGTGTTATGGAAGACCAGGATGCTTCAATAGCGGCCTTCAGCTCTTCTGCATTGTTCGGTCTTATGTCTCTCATCTTTCTCTTGGCAATGCCCCAGGTGAGTTTGCTGGCCAATCAAGCACAGTAATCCCACAGTCATTGAACCAGGTTTTGGTGCTTTTGGGCAGTATGGGCAGGTACCAAGTCCTGCTGGAAAATGAAGTCAGCATCCCCATAAAGCTCGTCTGCGGAAGGCAGCATGAAGTGCTCCAAAATCTCCTGGTAGACGGCTGCGTTGACCCTGGACTTAATGAAGCACAGTGGACCAACACCAGCAGATGACATGGCTCCCCAAATCAACACAGACTGTGGAAACTTCACACTGGACTTCAAGCATCTTGCAATGTGTGCCTCTCCATTCTTCCCCCATACTCTGGGTCCTTGTGCCTCTCCATTCTTCCTCCATCCTCGGGGTCCTTGGGCCTCTCCATTCTTCCTCCATACTCGGGGTCCTTGGGCCTCTCCATTCTTCCTCCATACTCTGGGTCCTTGGTTTCCAAATGAGATGCAAAGGTTGCTCTCATCAGAAAAGAGGACTTTGGACCACTGAGCAACAGACCAGGTCTGTTTTTCTTTAGCCCAGGTAAGACGCTTCTGACTTTGTTGGTTGTTCAGGAGCAGCTTGCCAAGAGGAATACGACATTTGAAGCCCATGTCCAGGATCCATCTGTGTGTGGCGGCTCTTGATGCACTGACTCCAGCCTCAGTCCACTCCTTGTGAAAGTCCCCAACACTTTTGAATGGCCTTTTCCTGACAATCCTCTCCAGGCTGCGGTCATCCCTGCTGCTTGTGCACCTTTTCTTCCACACTTTTCCCTTCCACATAACTTTCTATTAATGTGCTTTGATACAGCACTTTGGGAACATCCAACTTCTTTTGCAATTACCTTTTGAGGCTTTCCCTCCTTATGGAGGGTGTCAATGATGGTTTTCTGCACAACTGTCAGGTCAGCAGTCTTTCCCATGATTGTGATTCCTACTGAACCAGACTGAGAGACCATTTAAAGGCTCAGGAACCCTTTGCAGGTGTTATGGCCTAATTAGCTGATTAGAGTGGAACACTTTGAGCCTAGAATATTGCACCTTTTCACAATATTCTAATTTTCTGAGATTGTGGATTTGGGGTTTTCATGAGCTGTAAGCCATAATCATCACAATTATGACAAATCACGGCTTGAACTATCTTGATTTGCATGTAATGAGTCTATCTCATATATTAGTTTCACCTTTTAAGTTGCATTACTGAAATAAATGAACTTTTGCACGATATTATATAATTTTTTTGAGTTTCACCTGTATATGAGAAGGGAGGGGGGCTGATACAAGGGACTTGTGAGAACAGGAAGGCCCCTTCTATGTGGCTCCCCCACTGCCTGCTCCTGGCTCCCGCCCAGTAGGGTTGCCCCTCATCCCTTTAGACCCGAACACATATGAATTACACAGCTTCCGGGGCTAATTTATTAAATAAGGCACTGAGTGAGTTGAATTCCCACCTTATCCGCCCCAGAACCTGTGTAATTCATATTAAAGGGATGAGCGGCAACCCGACCCCCAGACATGGAGACTGTGTGAGGAGAATGTGAGCGGCACAGCTCGGAATTCCTGTAGAGCCGTAGAAGGCAGCTCCCCCCTCCCCCGTCCTCCTTCCTTCCTCTCTCTCTCCCCCTTCTCCCCCCTCCCCTCATCTGCTGTTGCTGCTTGTTTGCACTCGGCTGATCCAGAGCGGAAATTCCTTTCCGTTTTTGTGAATGACAAACTCATTAACAATTCATCAACACAACCTGTTCCAGCCGGCCCGTCTCCCAGGCAACCGGCGCTGGGCGCTCTGTGATTGGCCGGCGCGCACAATGTATCCATTGAGACGTCCCGTGTTTGTATCCATTCAGTAGGTGGCTGGGCCGCGCGGAGCTGATTGATCCGCGAGAGAGAGGGAGACGCCATTCACTGGGATCTGCACCAGGCGGCTCCATTGAAGAAGGAGGGAAGGAAGGCAGCTCGCTCGCTCTCGTGCCCGCTCCGTGCCCCGTCCTCAATGATAGACAAGCTCAGACCCGTGCACCCAGACATGGCGCTCAGCAAGTCGGTGGCCTGGCTCAATGAGCAGCTCCAGCTGGCCAACGAGCGCCTCCTGCTCATGGACTGCAGACCCCCGGAGCTGTACGAGTCATCCCACATCGAGGCCGCCATCAACGTGGCCATCCCCGGCATCATGCTGCGCCGACTCAAGAAGGGCAACCTGCCCATCCGATCGCTCTTCACCCGCGGAGAGGACCGGGGACACGTTCGCCCGGAGGTGCGGCTCCGACACCGTCATCCTCTACGACGAGGGCAGCGCCGACTGGAACGAGAACACCGGCGGGGAGTCCGTGCTGGGACTGCTCATGAAGAGGCTCAAGGACGAGGGCTGCAAGGCGTACTACCTGGAAGGTACCGACCGATACGGACACTGCAGGGACCACACTTAGGAGGGATAGTCTGCAGCGTGACAGGGACCACACTCAGGAGGGATAGTCTGCAACGTGACAGGGACCACACTCAGGAGGGATAGTCTGCAATGTGACAGGGACCCCGCACAGGAGGGATAGTCTGCAATGTGACAGGGACCACACTCAGGAGGGATAGTCTGCAATGTGACAGGGACCACACTCAGGAGGGATAGTCTGCAACGTGACAGGGACCACACTCAGGAGGGATAGTCTGCAATGTGACAGGGACCCCGCACAGGAGGGATAGTCTGCAATGTGACAGGGACCCCGCACAGGAGGGATAGTCTGCAATGTGACAGGGACCACACTCAGGAGGGATAGTCTGCAATGTGACAGGGACCACACTCAGGAGGGATAATCTGCAATGTGACAGGGACCACACTCAGGAGGGATAGTCTGCAATGTGACAGGGACCCCGCTCAGGAGGGATAGTCTGCAATGTGACAGGGACCCCGCTCAGGAGGGATAGTCTGCACTATGTGACAGGGACAACACGCACAGGAGGGATAGTCTGCACTATGTGACAGGGACCACGCACAGGAGGGATAGTCTGCACTATGTGACAGGGACCACGCACAGGAGGGATAGTCTGCAATGTGACAGGGACCCCGCTCAGGAGGGATAGTCTGCAATGTGACAGGGACCCCGCTCAGGAGGGATAGTCTGCAATGTGACAGGGACCCCGCTCAGGAGGGATAGTCTGCACTATGTGACAGGGACCACGCTCAGGAGGGATAGTCTGCACTATGTGACAGGGACCACGCACAGGAGGGATAGTCTGCACTATGTGACAGGGACCACGCACAGGAGGGATAGTCTGCACTATGTGACAGGGACCACGCACAGGAGGGATAGTCTGCACTATGTGACAGGGACCCCGCTCAGGAGGGATAGTCTGCAATGTGACAGGGACCCACGCTCAGGAGGGATAATCTGCAATGTGACAGGGACCACGCTCAGGAGGGATAGTCTGCAACGTGACAGGGACCACACTCAGGAGGGATAGTCTGCAATGTGACAGGGACCACACTCAGGAGGGATAATCTGCAATGTGACAGGGGACCCCGCACAGGAGGGATAGTCTGCAATGTGACAGGGACCACACTCAGGAGGGATAGTCTGCAATGTGACAGGGACCCCGCACAGGAGGGATAGTCTGCAATGTGACAGGGACCCCGCACAGGAGGGATAGTCTGCAATGTGACAGGGACCACACTCAGGAGGGATAATCTGCAACGTGACAGGGACCACACTCAGGAGGGATAGTCTGCAACGTGACAGGGACCACACTCAGGAGGGATAGTCTGCAATGTGACAGGGGCCACACTCAGGAGGGATAATCTGCAATGTGACAGGGACCCCGCACAGGAGGGATAGTCTGCAATGTGACAGGGACCACACTCAGGAGGGATAATCTGCAATGTGACAGGGACCCCGCGCAGGAGGGATAGTCTGCGACGTGACAGGGACCCCGCGCAGGAGGGATAGTCTGCCGTGACAGGGACCCCCGCGCAGGAGGGATAGTCTGCGACGTGACAGGGACCCCGCGCAGGAGGGATAGTCTGCGACGTGACAGGGACCCCCGCGCAGGAGGGATGGTCCGCGACGTGACAGGGACCCCCGCGCAGGAGGGATGGTCCGCGACGTGACAGGGACCCCGCGCGCAGGAGGGATGGTCCGCGACGTGACAGGGACCCCCCGCGCGCAGGAGGGATGGTCCGCGACGTGACAGGGACCCCCACCCCCGCGCGCAGGAGATATAGTCTGCGACGTGACAGGGACACACACCCCCCCCCCCCGCGCGCAGGAGGGATAGTCTGCGACGTGACAGGGACACACACCCCCCCCCCGCGCGCAGGGGGGATAGTCTGCGACGTGACAGGGACCCCCCCCCCCCCCCGCGCGCAGGAGGGATAGTCTGCGACGTGACAGGGACCCCGCACACAGGAGAGGGATAGTCTGCACGGAGACTTCAAAGAGGAGGAATGGTCTGCAGCAGGATGGGGGACCCCCCCCCCCCCCGTGCTGGAGGGATAGCCTGCAGCAGGATGGGGACCCCCCCCCCCCCGTGCTGGAGGGATAGCCTGCAGCAGGATGGGGACCCCCCCCCCCCCCCCCGTGCTGGAGGGATAGCCTGCAGCAGGATGGGGACCCCCCCCCCCCGTGCTGGAGGGATAGCCTGCAGCAGGATGGGGACCCCCCCCCCCCGTGCAGGAGGGATAGCCTGCAGCAGGACGGGGACCCCTCGTGTGAATGAGGGATAGTCTGAACAAGGACCCCAAATAAGGAGGGATGCTGTGCACCGTGCCAGGGACACAGGAGGGATGGTCTGCATTAGTATAGGGACCCCCCAAAAGGAAGGGTTAGTCTGCACCAAAACACAGAAGGGATAGTCTGGACATGGACCCCAGGGAGAAGGGATAATCTGCATAAGGACAGGGACCCTGAAGCAGAGGAATAATATGCACCAGTACAGGAACTCTAAAGAGGAGAGAGAGAGTCTGGACAGGGACAGTCTGAAGCAGTATTGAGGCCACTAAAGAGGAGGGATAGTCTACCCTAGGAGTGATGGTCTGTGTGCCAGAACTGAGGTCCTAGGTAGGAGTGACAATCTGCAGCAGTACTCACATGTTAGTATTGAAAAGCTCAGACTCTGCACAGAAATGAAGTGCTAGCACCTTCGACAAGAGTGATTGTCTGCCATTAGTACAGGCACACAGGAGTGATAGTCTGCATCCTGCTTGTACACACAAATGACACGCTAGCTGCACAGGTGAAGTGTAGGCACCCTAGACCTGAATGCCAGGCTCTTCTAATAGCTGGCATCTCCATAGAAGAGAGTGTCTCCTCTGTTAGACTGCTGGCACCACAGGAGTGACAGGCTGAACATTTGTCATAGCTAGCTGGCATCCCACTAGAAGAGGCACCTCACCGGGGGCACTGCTTCCTTAGACAGGTGTGACAGACCACCCCACCAGCTGACATTTGTCACGGAATGCTGGTACATCGTATCACTGCTTATTTTTGTATGTTTTGTACAGAAATGAAACACAGCTTCTAAAGTCAATGGTTGGCACCTATTAAATCTGTAGCAGCCTACACTAGTAGCTGGCATTCATTGCTGACGGCTGGCACCCCAGCATTGGGCTCCCGCTGCTGATGGCTGGCACCCCTGCATTGGGCTGACGGCTGGCACCCTGCATTGGGCTGACGGCTGGCACCCCAGCATTGGGCTGACGGCTGGCACCCCAGCATTGGGCTCCCGCTGCTGATGGCTGGCACCCCATTAGAAAGGCTCTTTGCCTCTGTTTTATATTTTGCACACAAATAAGTTCAGGTGAGCATCTGCCTCTACGCAGGAGTGCCAGTCTGTACCAGTGCCTTGTCCTCACTACTGATAGATGGCATTAACACCTAGCCACACAACCTGTGTGTTAGAATGTGCTTAGTGTGGCCGAAACAAATAAGATGATAAATCATTCCATTCCATGCACATACATGTGTCATAATTCGCCCCCTACAATCCAGTCCTACCAGATAAAGCATTGTCAGTCTGGTTTGATTTCTCTGGATTGTATTGGTACAAAGGATGACATGTTTGTCCTGACACTCCGATTTTGTGCAGTCCATACTTTCTACAGTTTCTTTCTTGTACAATTTTCTTTTGTTTACCAAAACCAAATAATAAGAGGTAAAACCTAAACGCTTTCATTTGTATGCAGTCAGACTTGCACTATATAGTTGACGGTGAATCTAAAGGAAATTGAGCAAGAAAATTGTGTAATGTATGGCCAAGTTTAGTCTAAATGCAGGGTTTGTATGGTCAGAGCACAGTGGGTGTAGGTATCTTTACAACTTCTTTTATTATTTTACTAGTGGCTCTGGTCTTTGACCAAATGACTGTCTTCACTAATGAGCTGGAGATAATAATTTCCTTCCTTTGTGATTGCTGCTAAGAAATCTGAGTACACATAGGTAGTTTACCGATTATTACCACAGAGATTATCAGCAGCCATGATAAGTATATCACCACAGCGTAGATTTCTCTCTAATCGCAGCCCTAGTGATTCATTCATTCTATCAAGGTACAAAGTCTAACCTTATCGGAAAAGCACTGTATAAAATTGAGGTCGTACTTTATTTGCATTCCATTGATGAAGGACAAGAGGGTCTTATCAATGAAAGGAGACTACAGCTTGCAGTGTGTGCTCTCTGCACTTGGTTAAACATTTATTCAAACAGATCAGATATATATATATTATATTTTTTTTTTACCTCTTTCCCCTGACAGTGTGCTCTAACTATACCTCTCCCTCTATTGCAGGTGGTTATAACAAATTCCAGGCCGAGTATCCTGTGCATTGTGAAACCAATCTGGACAGTTCTTGCAGCAGCAGTTCTCCACCGGTGCTAGGCCTGGGAGGCTTACGAATCAGCTCTGATTCTTCATCAGACATCGAATCTGACATTGACAGGGACCCCAGCAGCGCTACAGACTCTGATGGCAGCCCCCTGTCTAACACACAACCTTCATTCCCAGTTGAAATACTGCCCTACTTATACCTCGGCTGTGCCAAAGATTCTACCAATCTGGATGTTTTAGAAGAGTTTGGTATTAAATACATCCTAAATGTTACCCCCAACCTGCCAAATCTTTTTGAAAATGCTGGGGAGTTCCGGTACAAGCAGATTCCAATATCGGACCACTGGAGCCAAAACCTGTCACAGTTTTTTCCCAGAAGCCATTTCTTTTATTGGTGAGTATCAGTGCTGCATATCTGCTCCTTTGTCATGCTTGTATGCCTGCTATGGCTTAACTGGGAGTCTTTTAAATTGCAAATGCAAGTTCTGTATGCTTCTGTGAGAGTTCCTTTTTAAATGCTTGATATAGCCTTGGACTAGTGAACTTTCATCCTCAGTCTAACATAGTGAGATGGTAATCCGAGCACTGCAGGAAGACATTTTTGGCCGTCTGCCACATAGTACCTAATCTTCAAGCATTGTAGTGCATTTCCTCTTACAAAGGAACCCATTTTACAGCAATGTTGACATCCTGTTCCTCTTAATCGGCTGTCCCCTGTGACTTCCCTCTTTCTCTTATCATGGTTGAATAAAGCTATTGTTGCTGGCACAACACTTGGATAATTATTTGATTTGACTTTTTTTTTTTTTTTTTTTTCCCCCTCTTGAGAGAATCATTTTTATTTAGTACATAGATAACCAATATTATACACTATATCTTGATGGCTGTTTGCTCTTTTACTTGAATTCTGGGGCTTGTATAGTACTTAGTGTATACCATGCCAAAATAAATTAAAAAAAAAAAAAAAACACATCTCTGCAATGTATGTGCTTTTTTCCATCTTAAAAAAAAAAAAAAAAAGTGTGTGGGTGGTGTGGGTTTCTTCTTCTTCTTTTTTTTTTTTTTTTTTTTTTTTTTTTTGTAACAGAAAATACCTGTCAATCTGCCTCAGCCTGTTATGCGTGTAGTTAGTCCTTCCAGTTTTCTTTTACTTGCCTATTCCACCACTCCCAATCTCAAATAATTTTTGTTGCTGTTTATTATTCAGGTTTTATATAGCACCATCAGTTTGCTCAGTGCTTTACAACTCCTACAACATAAAGGCTAATTATACTGTAGTTCAACATAAGTACTAGGAGGGCTCTTTTGAAATGACACAGGAAGTGTTCAGCTTGGAATTTCTTTAAGATCAACAGCATGTGGGTATTTTTAAATTGACTATGTTTTCTCTTTTTCTTGTTCCAGATGAGGCCAGAGGAAAAGTTGTGGTGTCCTGGTACACTGCCTTGCAGGAATCAGCAGGTCAGTCACAGTTACAGTGGCCTATCTCATGCAAAAGCTAAACCTTTCCATGAATGATGCCTATGACATAGTCAAGATGAAGAAGTCCAACATTTCCCCCAACTTTAACTTCATGGGTCAGCTGTTGGATTTCGAAAGGACATTGGGACTTACCAGCCCTTGTGACAATCGTGTCCCTCCTCAACAATTGTATTTCACGAGTCCAGGCAATCAAAATGTCTTTAAAGTAGATTCTTTGCAGTCTACGTGAAACTGAATCACTGAAATGTGTTGGTGATAATCATTCCTATACAGAAAAGTTTCTTTCAGTCTGTCGCAAGCATTTGACAGATGTTATCGATAGGAGGTGATAACCTGTGAATCAAGATTATTAAAGTAGGAAGAGATGGCTGGTTGAAGTCTCCGGGTTATGGAGAACGGAATCTCTGGGCCTCAATGATTTGGCAGGGTTACATGAGAGCACTGCCTTAACGCAGTGGCTTGAGATCCAATCAAGTAGCATTGGACTGCAAACCATCCATATGACGTGGATGAACTATATATATATATATTTTACGTATATATCCTTGTCTTCTGTGAAGACCGGTTCTCCTAAAATTCAAAGGAGCCAAAGAAAGCATTTTTAAACTTCTAAAGAATTTGAAGTACTTGGATTTTTGTTGTCTTTGTTTTTCAATTTACAGAGTTCTGTAAATATTCACTTTTTATATGTAGCACTGTCAATATTTTTACCTTTTTAAAAGACTTGAGGTGGACTGGACTTTTCAGAAAAAGTGTAGCAGAGTTCAATAGTGAAAAGCACTGCAATCTGTCATTATTGCTTTAGCTGAGCCATATGTTGAGTGGCTTAGCGGTAGTTGTAATGGCTAATTTTGCTCTTCAGTATCGGGATATGAAGATCATGTATTTTGTATGCACAGAAGGTTGTTCATTTACAATTGTAATTCTGATTCACATTCATGTAACTTTGTTTGCCTGAGCTTTTGTGAACCACATCGTGGTTTTCATGTTTTAACACTTTAATTGCTCTTAAACTTAATGTGAATTACCTCTGACCTTTTTATGGAGCCGCACCTATAATGCTATGGTATGTAAGAGGTGTGTTTTTTGTTTTTTTTTTTGAGATCCTTTTTCTTTTTTGGATTATGTAACTGGAAGTATGTACCAGTGACCTGCAAAGCTTAGATTGCACACTTATTGCCAATAAGGGAGATGCATTGTGCTCCCAGATGTCCACGGGGTAAAGTTTTAAGATGAAATTTATTATAGATCTTTAAATTATTAATAAATCACTATTTTGGTTATTGAACGTATGTGTATTCTTCATTTTTATTTTCTTGTATGTGTGGGTGTTTTTCAGAGACTAGAATTTTTTCAAAAGGGTTCATTCACTGCTAGATAAGTAGTCAGGCCAATTGTCAAGTGCCTGTTGGGCACTACTGCACAGTCACTCTTAGATGCTGACCATGAGAGCTACTTTGGCTTTCTACACAACAGTAAATTGCACTGCTGCATTGCACAGTGTTGTGACCGATTGGTGTTTTTGTTACAGTGTAGCACATTTGACATGTTGCAAATTTTATTTTTGTGCAGTAGTTTGACTGAACATCTTGTGCCTCAACTAAGTATGTAGATCAGATGTGGGGGTGAGAACACTAAATGTACAATACTCAACAGATGCCTTCCCTCTACATCTACATTCTTAGCCTGTCTTGTCATTTATTGGTAGGTTTTAAAATGCAAGTCTCACAAGGCCTGACACAATTCTACACTATAGTGAAAGGTTATATCTATTAAATATAATTATAGGCCAAATTTCATAAGAGAAAAGTCAATAGCTAGACTTTTTTTTTTTTTTTTTTTTTCCATGGTAAAGAAACCATGCGCATATTCTGTGTTTGTGCATTCAATGTGCTGGTGTTAAACTAGGACTTATCCAAAAATGTTAGCTTTCTGAACACTGGTGCTTAAGCAGGCCATTCATTATATAATTTTCTTTCCTTCAACCACCGGTTGTAGGAAAGACAATTGCTCCATTTTCCACCATCAACACTTACTGTTCCCCTGCAACTCTATTGTGTTCTGGTGGGCAACCTTTCCTGCCAGCGGAACACGCATGAGCACAGCTGGTGGCTATAGCCGCCGGCAGTGATCAAAAGGAAAAAAAAATGGATCAATTGCAGTATAACCTGCCTGGCCATAGATGGATCAATTCTCAGCTGGTCACTCATGAAGCGGACGATATTCGATCCATCTATAGCCGGCTTTAGAGTGAGGGTGTGTTAATACAACAATACCATGGACATGACTTTCAGGTATAAGTACCTGAAATAAAAAAAAAATGTCCAGATTTATTTTTGTTGTGTATATTTAGGCATTTGAGTGCGTTCCCCAGATTGGAACTGCTTTGTGTGAATTGAGATATGTTTGTCATTTCAGTGTTGCAGTCACGGTAGTGACAGTAATGTACAGTCTCCCTAGTTGAGTTTATTATTCAATAGTTTTGGGCATGGCTGGCTCATGTCTGGGGCAACCTTAAAACCAAAACTGTAGCCCATGGCAGGATCCGACTGTGCTTGCCTCCCGCAGACACTGTTAATGTCTAGATGCTGGTCCAGCAAAAATCCAATTTGTCATGTAATTTAAAAAAAAAAAAAGTTAGTTGTTCCTTCTTGCTCCCCTTCATCTTCCTTGGCCACAACATGTGTAATTGGCAGCCAGTGTTGTGGACTAATGGGGAAGTAAGGAGATCAGGATAGGGCCTGGACTGTGTGCTCTTCTTTTGGAGAAGCAGCATTGTCGATTTAGGACCTGAAGTGTTAGTACTACAGAACGCCTCCCAATCTCCATAACAGAGTGGAGTTGTTCTGTAGTCAACTGGCTGAAAACAATGCTAACACAGCCTTTTATATAGGAAATTGCAAGCTTGCTAGATTTCTGGCAGGTTCTCTAGGCATTACTTGCACATTCAATTTATATATTTTAATGTATGCAGCAAAGAGTTTGTTCATGCTTTTAAGAAACGCTGCACAAACTGGGATGCAATGAAAGTTCAATAGCCAGCAGAAACAATCTGAAGTGTTCTGCACGAAGGCACAGTACTTTTCTCAAAATAATCTTTAAGAAAGCAAGCGGTGCCTTCAATCGAAATGTATCTGCTTGTTCTTTCTGGCTATTGAATGAAAACACGTTTACTGCATCCTGGTTTGTGCTCTGTTATTTGAAAACAAAGAGGTTGATTTACTAAAGGCAAAATAAACTGTGCACTGCAAGTGCAGCTGCTCTACATCTGAAGGGAAGTTCTGCTTTTTTCTATCCTATTGTACAAACAAAAGTGTGTATGTGTTTTGGGTTTGCAGAGTCAAGCTTTACCTCAAGTACTGAGCTCTGGAGCAACTGCACTTGCAGTGCACAGTATATTTGCCTTTAGTAAATCAACCCCAAAGTGTAATGCTCTGGTGCAAATGAGCCAGCACTTTGAAGATCTACGGCATGCATACCGGATTGCAGCTGGAGCTGTATTCAAGTACAGCATAAGTGAAGTTTATTGTTACTATGTACATACACTTTAAAGTGTAGCTAAACCCAAAAATAAAACTTGAATATATTGTTTCTTGATTTTTTTTTTTTTTTTTTTTTTCTCCCCATCTGATTAGCCAGTAACACAACTCCTCTCTTAGGGTGGCTACATTTACTCCTCCTATGGAGGAGCAACATAGGGGAACAATAAATCAAAGCGCTCAGGTTTCCCTGGTCAGTAAGTACGTCACTTGTGTATTAGTGTGTATCCGGATCTTGGATTAGAATTGGATATGACTTGATAAAGCACATGCGTGTAAAACGCGCTGTCATGGAAACCTTCTCCGCTGCCCTGACCCATGATGTGTGCTTCTGGAGTCAGGACTCTGTTAGTGTCCCGCTGTGCCCTCTGCGCATTTCTGGAGCGTGCGGCCCCAGCCTGGACGCACACACCAGCATCTGTACCGAGATACTGTCACTTCCACTGCTGGTCCAGATGTCTGCTATCCCTTTGCATCATTATCCTAGCTAGGGATATGTAAGTGGAGCCTCTTTTCATGCGAGTACGGGTCTTGCCACTGTTTATTTTGTGCCTTGAGCCTGAATTGTTGCCTGTTTGGATATGAATACACATTTATTTAACCACTTACTCTCCAAAGGATCCCCCCCCCCCCCCTTTCCTGACCAGGCCATCTTTTTGCGATACAGCACTGTGTTACTTTACCTGACAATTGTGCGGTCATGCAACGCTGTACAAAAATGAAATTTGTCTTTTTTTTTTTTTTTTTTTTTCTTACCACAAATATAAAAATAGTGAATCTCCTGCGCTCCTAAGTCCCTATACAATTAATATATAAAAGGTACAGCTGCCAACATCCAATCATATACAAATATAGCTTTCTTTCGGTGGTATTTGATCACCTCCTCCGTATTATTATTTATTTATTTTGCTCTATAGACAAAAAAGACCGACAATTTTTGAAGAAATATATATATATATATATTTTTTTTTTTACTTTTTGCAAAAAAAATCCAGTAAAAAAAAATAAAAATTCAGGACAAAATGTATTCTGCTGCATGTCTTTGCTGAAAAAAAAATTCCAGTAAGTGTATAATAATTGGTTTATGTGAAGGTTATAGCGCCTACAAGTGGCGAAAAAAAAATATATTTATATTATTAAATAAATAAATAAATAGATATATCTATCACTAGTAATGGTGGCGATCAGCAACTCCTAGCGGGACTGACACTGGGTGGGAATTAACTGCCACAGACATCCCCCCGTGACACTAATCCAGTGATCAGTGCTAATACAAAGCATACTAATGACACTGGGCTTGAAGGGGTTAACATCTGGGATGATTAAATGGTTAACTTTTGTTCTGTGTGTTTTACATTATGTGCTGTGTTGTACTACAGAGACATGCTGCTTTGTATTTCTCTGCTGTGCAGAGAAATACAAAGCCGCATGTCTTTGATGGGAGAGAGACCTGCGTTTGCTTACAGACAGGTCTCTCCCATGCCAGCTCTGCCAACAATCAGAGTCCCGGCTGAGAATTCCTGGCCAGGACCCGATAACTGACATGTCCAGCAGCAAATAGCGGTGTGGGTAGTGTTGCGTGCACATGCCCCCCCCCCCCAATCGGAAATGCAAATCATGTGTGTTTGTGTAATATATAAATATATATATATGACTTTGCTGCGCAGCCCTGCCGCCCTGTAGCAGTACT